ATGCTGAGTGCAGTGCAGTAGATCCCCACACTGGTTCCAGGTTAATAAACGCCTGTCTTGCTTTCCGATCCTGGCTTTCCCATCCTCGTCTGCGCCGTCTTTAGTTAAAAAGTATATATATATATATATATATATATATATATATATATATATATATATATATATATATATATATATATATACTGAGTGGACTACAACCGGCTAAGTTGTGAGGATCTGATCAGTATCTGTCGACAAAGTCTTGTATAGTACCACACGGTCAAGTGGATTGTTAATTTGTTCGATGTCCAGTATTAAGCGAACAATATTATGCCGTTCTGCTTATCGCCTCACTTTGGCCGGCACCGTTAGGCACACTGTAAGTCATCCTGAAATCAGCACAAGTAAAATATTACCTAACCAGCTTAGTGTTAAATCGCACTTCCATAGACGTATGTGACACAAGTTTTAATATTCAAGGAGTTGTCAGTTTTGTGGTTTATAGATCAGTTCCTGAAGGAAAATGTCAACAGGTGGAAAACCGAGGTCTATGGCTAGTCATTGACTAACTTCTTGCGTAATCATTAAAGTGTAGACAATACGTAGAAATTGGAGGTTGTCTTGAAAGATGCGGACCGATATTATCTGTGTTTCTATCCTGACCGATAGCATAATGAGAACCTACAAGTTGTTTCGTAAAGTCTGCATTGCTGTCAAAAATATTTAACGACGTCTGCTGTTCTTAAACTATTTGGTTTAGGTTAAAAACCTTTCAAAAATTCCTCTCTGAAATGCATAGCATCTGGAAAAGCAAATAAAGAATAAAGTGAAGGACCCTTTCAAGTTTGTAAAATAAATCGTGAACTGACAGAAGTAGGATATATGGACCACTGGATCCCGACCTAGTTGCTCAATGCGACATGCTGGCTGCCGAACCTGAAGGTTCTGGGTTTGATCCTTGGCGGGGCAGGGTGATAGGTCCGTGCTTCTGAGGAGTCCCATACTCGGATGAAATAGGTGTCCAGTGCTTCCAGGTTCCCAATGTTTTCCCAACTAATGTCAGTTCATGATGAATACTAAACTGAGATCAATAACTAAATCCTCATAAACCTCTAAAATGTAAAATGAATAGTTTGAAGTGAACTATCCAATGATCATTTAGTAAAATGATAATATCTCTGGAAAATTACCAACATCTGTGAATTCAAGATACGATGCGGAAAACAAAAAAGCTTAACTCATCATTCATGAAACTTGAGAAAAATGACTTCTATAGATATGTTCTACAATTCATCATCCTTACGCGCTTCATCAACCTAAATGACTTTGGAAAGAAGTGTTTCCTTAAAAATGTCTCACTTGAATAAGGCCAGAACAATGATTTGAGAACAATAACATGGCAATAAATACTACTGAACAATATGAGTAGATAGAAAACACTTACTCTGATCTACAAATTTTTTAGCCAGATAAGAATGGTATAAACAACGGAAAGCTGTTTAGTTTGTAGAGGCTGGGAGGGCTGAGCTTATCTGACTCACAAATGAGCCAGATTACTCAGATCAGCTGAATCTGGCTATCCAACCTAAATGAATAGATAGGATGAACAATTTCCAAATTATTGACTAGTTGCTTAGTTCATGTTGACATTCCTGATAATAGAGAGGTATTCTAAACTGCCCAACTGTGGTGTCAACAGGGTTTCCCTCACAAGTTATGCATATTTCCTTAGTTAGCAATGCCTCTGTGTCGCAGACTGCATCTCATGACTTTGTCTGGATGGTTTTCTGGGGGAATGTCGTTGACAGTAGAGTTGGACAGCTAGTAAACTTCTAATCTGTAAGAAATGTCAGCGCAGACCATGTAATTTGTAAATAAATTATGAATTCATCATCTCAGCCAAATTTGTGAACAGACAGTTATGGTCATAAATGAGATGAATGCCCTTTGAAAGGAATACGAATTTAATTTTTGGAGGACACAGTGGCTTACATGCGCATGTCATTTGCGATGATGAGTGTCAAATAATTGATGATAAGACAAACTGAAGGTAAACAGCATAGGGAAGACGAATTAATAATCATGTTCAAAGTTGTATTGCGTCGAGTGAGTGATAGGTGAAGAAAATGACATGAGTTTTCCTGAGCTCGAAGAAGGTAACGTAACCGAGATCGTCCACCTGAGCTACAAATATTCTCCATCATTTCACCAGATATTTCATATAATGGTCAGTGTTTGGGATGGTATGATTACAGTAATAATAACAATAATAATCTGAATGCCTAACGAACTATGCAGAAAATTGACAAAATTTTAAAGGTTTAATGGAATAAGAGGAAAAAACAGAGGATATCACTATGTATTATTATTTGTCACTTGGGTTCCTAGTGGAACATAAGATTTCAGTAGCACGTCTCCAGTACACTATGTTCTCTGTAGTCTTTTCAACCCAGCGACACGACTGCCCACAACCTTTTTCTTCTTCACATGATCTCCTCCATGTCACCCTCAGCTGGGATGCCCAACTCGTCGTTTCCCCTGTGGATTCCACTCGAGGGCCTGGCCTGGCGCATGATGTCTCCGAATGGCTTCCTAGGTGTAAGTTCAATCCATCTCCACTTTCTTCTGGATATTTGTTGAGCGATAGGTCCTTTGACTTTTCGCCTAGAAGTTTCTTCAGCCAATGGATTGGTTTCACGGGGTAGGGTTGCCAGCCATACACCAACCTTCCCTCTTTATCCGGGCTTAGGACCGACGAATAACCGGTGAACTAGTTAACTAGGTGAGGTTTTACCCATATGTACCCACAATGTGTATCTATTTCGGTAATGCTGCCTTTTAACGACCTACCTTCTAATTTTATTAAAATATGATAAAAAAAATATCAGGTCTAGTGGTGATTGCATCGTTTCATCTCCTCCTCCGGCTTCTTCTTCTCCTTCTACAACAATTACTATTACTGCTAGTACTACCTCTACTGGACAAGAATCGAACACTCATTGTACACTGCACCAGTAATTCTTTTTAAATTTTCAATTAAGATTACTTTGTTTTTTATCCTACCAGTTTTCCTTACATATAGTTCACAGTCTGACTTTATTTAGGTTTCTGGCTGTTGATCTGATGTATGTAGGAATTACTGGTTGAGATGGACACTACAATTAAAGCTGATTACCTCCTTCACTCACCTCTTCTTTTGTTCAGATAACTTACTGATTCCTTCCTTCCTTCCTTCCTTATTCTTCTCTCTTTTATCTTAATGTGCTGACATGATGTATCGCAAATTGCGCAGTTACACTGTAGTTCCTGACAATTTTGATTGATAATAATTGGCTGAGTGACGTAAATTTATAAAGGCTTAGTAACTGATAAGCAGGTGAATTAAACTCCTATCACCATTCCTTTACAAAATATTCTCATTCTGAAGTGAAGATATAATGATACTTTCCTACCTTAAGTTTCATATTTTGATGACTAGTTAAAACAATTTTTTTTGAAAACAATTTGTTTATAAGAGAATGTTTTCTAAATTTCCAAAACACTTTGTCTATCCAGAGAAGAAGAATATTGAATAATTCCCCTGACAACTTGTTATTCAATTGGATAACTGATTTTCAACCAATCAGAGATCAGTTTATCTAATAGTTCATAAACAAGTTAGCTTGAAAATTGAGCCAATTACCATCAACTTTTATTTCTTTCCTTAATTGTTGCGTTAACTGCCTCCTATAGATTAGAGGGAGAGAATTGTACCACTGGTTTTTCCCATTATGTACCACGTAAAATTATCTTCATTTCTCTTCTCTCTATTCTTCTCTTCCCCTATAAATTACCGGTTACTGTGTGCTTGGTCTGACTATCACCTTCAAGTTTTCCATTCATTTGTTATAAGTACGTTATTTGATTTATTACTTCCCTTTTGAAGAGATTTATTAGAACGAATTCAAATTCACCTGTTAATAAAAAAAGGTTATCAGTCAGTTACATCATCATTCAGTTCGTAATCAACGTGGATAGGTAAGTTGGTGTACTTAAAAGTCATACTTTATCGCTACGAGATGAGAATTATATATCCTTACTAAGAGAGGTAAACGAAGAGAAAGAGTTCTTGGTAGATGTTTGACAACCTTATTGACATAGCACAGCATGAAACGAAATACCCACCATACTCCTATCGCTGATTGCTCCTGATATCAGGCAGCAGTTCAGTTGGAGAGTTTCTATTGATACAAGGTGATGATTGAAGTATATATTGACAGTTGCGCAAAGCATGAAGTCGAGGATCTTTAGCCAGTGGACTGGCTTTTTTCAGTTGTAACCTTAGCGCAACTATCATTTAGTGTCACCAGTAGACATCTGTTCTCCTTGATTAATCCTGAGGCCAGTGCTAATATTTTGAAAATATTTAACTTCATTAAATGTTGAGATTGCCGTTAGAACGTACTTTGTAATCCAGTCTTGTGTTAGTACCTCACAAATTTTCATCACTTTTCAAGGTTTGTCATAAATCTTCAAGGAATGCGTACCCACATTACCTTATAGAAGTCGGACATCTCAGTGTATCATTCTAAATCATATGGTATCACCATATAGGAATATCTGTTATTAAGGTTATGTGCTTGGTTTGCGGAGATGACCAGCAACCGGTAGGTCATGGGTTCATACCCCCTCCCCTAGTTACCGACGTCTAGGCAACTGGATAGTACCATTAATCCTAACACAACAGTGTCTAAGTTTGACACAGATCTAAGAAGATACACTTTTCCATGGAGACTGAAGCATACAGTGTTCTGTATAATAGTCGGCAAAGGAACCAGTGACGTAACTGTATGACATCTCATACTCCTATACACAATCGAATCAAGTATAGATGATTCCTCGAGTATGCTGAAAAAACTGGGACAATAAAGTCCTCTATCGATAATTTACTACCTTTTTTAACAACATTCTATAATATGCATTTTTTTTCTTATAGATTTTCAATCCCTAACATTAATTATTGAAACCTTCTGCTTATATCTATGGAATCAGATAGTTCAAAGAGATTTTCAAGATGTTCCAGTACAACTTCAGAGTATACATCTTCAAGAAATTTTCATATTCATCAATTATTAGATTCAAATAAGAATGACAACAACCAGAACAATAATGATCATACTTCTCTGAGTAATTATCCTTTAAATAAATTACAAAGTTATCCATTGAATTCAACTATACAAAGTCAATCTGATTATTTAATCAATCATAATAAAAAGGGGATTACAGATAAAAACAATCTTAACACAACCACTTCTATAACTAATCCTAATTATAATCATTTGCTGACAACAATTTCTCAATTAATGAATAATTATAGTTCAGAGAAAATATTATTTTTTTTAAAGTTAACACAAAATTTGTATTCTGATACTATTGAAATTCCTATTGAACTACAAAATTTACTTGAAACAAAATTGATAACAATGAAATATTCAAGTGAACTTTCAGAACACCAACAACAAAATAATAAAGAGATTAGTTGTTTACAAAATCAATTGAATGCCAATAACAAGTATCATTATAACACTTGTAAGCATAATAATGATGATAATGAAGAGAACCCTATTGATATTGAAAAACGAAAAGAGATAGAGTGTAAAAACCAAATGGTAATTACAAAAACCAGTGATGAATATGAAGAGAATTTGAAAATTATGAAAAATTTAATGCAAAACTCTTTAGAACAAATAAAAGAAACACCAGTAAAAAATTATCAACAAGAAGAAATTGAATCATCTAGATTATTTTCTGATAGTCATGTTAAATATGCACAAAAGGCATTCGATTTATTAACTAATGAATGCGGAACCCATAACTTATTACCATTAATGTTGCATAACCCTGGTAAGTTAAAACAAAATGATAATCTACTTGTAACTGGCCTATAGTTTCTATGTGATAGTCATTATCAATTATTAGTCGAAAAAGAGATGCCAACAGTGATCCAGACACTCATATAAGCGACTGCATCATGGTTTCCGATCCGCTCGATGCGACTTGCTACCGGCAGCTTAACAGTAACTTTTCCTATATAATTATGATTCGTTTTTTGGGTTCCTAGTGGAACAGAGGGCTTCGGTAGCACGCCGCCATTTCACTCTCTTCTCTCCACTCTTTCCAACCTGGCTCCACCACTAACCACAACCTCTCACTCATTCCTCACACAATCTACTCAATGTCACCCTCACCTGCGACGCTCAACTCCTTGTTTCACATTCGAATTCCTCTTGAGAGCGTGGCCTGACGCGTGACGTCCCCTAACAGTCCTCTCACTTCATATCCAATCCAATCCATCTCATCTCCACTCTCTTCCTCTGCATATTTGTTGGGTGATAGATTCCTGGTTGGTTGGTTGGTTCGTTGCCAGTCCAGAGTGCCTCCTTGCTTATTCCTTCTCGCCTTCTTATCTGATCTCATCCTCAGTATTGAGTGGGCGTGTGCGGCAGCTGTTTGTGTATGTCTGTAGTTAGTTGGAAATGCTTTTCGTAGGGCGCTAAGTCTCCCAACCATCACATAGAAGCACTGACTTGAATGACGTTTCTAGTGTTTAAAATCGGGATGTTGTTCACGCTTTACGTTGAGTGCAGTAGATCTCGATACTGATTTCAGATTAATGAGGGCGTGTCTTGCTGTCTTTCTAATCCTGGTTTTGACGTCTTCATCTGTGTAAGTGCCACCTGTAGCTGAAACGATGCTGCCTAGGTAGGTGAAAGAGACGACTTTCTTTAGGTTTCTCCCGTTTATAATAATTTTTGCTAGTTGTTGTCTTCTGTACGTTCACCTGAAGGAAGTCCCATTTTCTTCTCTGCCCTGCTTCTTCTCTCAACTTGTTAGTTTTTGCCTGTACATCTAGTTTCTGTGGCATAACATATTAGACATAAATCGTCATAAGCGAAATCCAAATGTTCTAGGGTCTTTTCATCGGTCAAATTTTGTGTGCCCATCTTCTCGATCCTCATAGTTTCTCGCATAATCCAGTCCACCACAATCACGAAGATCATCTGTGATGGTAGGCAACCTCGTCTTGTCTTCCTCCTCTCTTCACTTCAAAAGGATCACTGAGTTTTCCATTGTGAAACACTCGGCATGTGGCGTCTTCATATAGCTGCTGAATGAGGTCGACGGAGGTTTGTGGTACTCCATAGTCTTGGAGCAGCTTCTAAATTACTTCTTGGTAGACTCTGTCGAAGGCTTTTTCAAAGACGTTGAAGTTGAGGTGAAGTTGATGTAATTTAAAACAGTGACACAAGCCTAGTTATTAAGTTCCTCTTATATTATTCAGTTATATTCAATGAACCAGTTAAACATCACATCTAGTTAATTCAGTATTTTTTTGATTTTTGAATCTCTGAAGTTAATGCTGATAAAGTAGCCTAGGCTGGTGATGAAACGTCTAAGAACAAACTTTGAAACTAAGAGAATATCAAACAATAACCACTCTAAAGCCAGTTACAACGAGATTGTATGCACCTTAAAAAGGAAGCATATTTTGCTTCTGGTTATATAATATCATGACATATACAAGTGGATATTTTATATAAACTATGATCAAGACTTGATCTTATAGTATGGCAAATATTGGGCACTGAGTAAAAGGTTGGCAATAGATGTAGATTGTATTTGTGTAAGTTACAGAGAGTTTGAAGTCGAATAATTCTAACGTTTCGCACGGAAGTCTGGTCCCAGCTTCTTCAGGAAAATAATTAAAATATCAAGCATGCATAAATGAATCCAAAAAAGTGTATTTAATCTTATTGTCCAATCATCATCGCATAGTCATTGTCTTTCTCAATTATGATGACGAATCATTCAGTGTGGAATTGTATGTCCCTTGTTATATGCCATACGCTCATGTGTTTGCATGTATGATATATATGTACTCCAATTCATATTCGTCTAGATTGTAGACATCACACAAAAAGGTCACTGGTGGCATTATAGTCATTCGGTAATTCTTATAAGTACAACGGAGTGGATGAGACGAATATGTATACAGTTTCAACTGGAATATGGTGGTGAACAGTATTAACGAAGTTTTCCTCATTGATTTCCTCGGAAAAAGAGTGGAAATGAGTAATGATAATGATGGTAATGATGAAATGATCATAGTAATAGTGAATCAAATCAACCCACATTGTGTTGTTGTTGATGCAGAAATAATAAAGTTGAGACTGGTGTTGACGGCAAATACTTCGACTCACTCTTTCTGCTTGGTAATTAGTAACTGCCAAGAGGGGCAGCTAACTGTACTCCATCTCGTCTATCCAAACTGTCTGGATTCGCTTATGTATGTTGGGCTTCGGCTGTCAATCTTTCTTGGTATGACTCAAAACCTATTTGTGGAACCTTAGTCCCGTCAAAGTTAATTTTGTGTCCTATTTCTATGGTGTGTCACACGATTGCGGATTTGTTTTCTAGTTTCTTAACCTTTAGTAAGGTTTTTGGGATCTGCTTTAAGCATAGTTTATGCTCTTTGACTCTCACATTTACTTGTCTGGCTGTTTCCCCTGCATAGACTACAGTACAATCTCCGTATCTGATTTCATAAACGTAGTTCCATTAGCCTTCATTAAGTTAGAACGTAGGGTATTTGTTGTACGAAAGTAAACGCTTATGTCGTGTATGTTGAAAATTCTTCTTATTTGTTCTGAAGTCTCCTTAAGGGTATGAGATTATGACAGTGCTTATACAGTTTTTTGGGGGGAAGTTTCGGCATATCCCTTTAAGATCTGATTAAAGAAACCTTTGGGATAACTGTTTACTTCCAGTGTGTGGCAAACTGACTTTAACTCTTCTTCTTTATTCTCCTTTGTTGTAACGAGACAGTTAACCCTGTTCGGAAGCAACCTTAGTATTGTCATCATCGAGCTGCTCTTAAAATGGTCTTGCAGCTATATATTTTCACTTCCGTTTAGGTGTGAACATGGGTGTGTGTTGAGACCAGTGCCCTTGCACATGCCCCAAAACGAGCGACAATCTGCACACCCTCTAAATTCGTACTGGCCAGAAATAGGTGGTTGTATAAGCACAGTTGTGGTAGGTGGTCGGGATTATCCATAGGGATTCTGGAAGTGCCTCTTCCTAGCTTGACATATCTACTTAAGCATTGAAATCGCCTACTACGATAACCACATTTAGATATTTTGTTATGTGTAATAGGCCAGACGGTTTCCAGTAGAACTTGTTTTCGGCTTTATTCGAACTTCGGTCAGTGATTGCGTCAGTAGAGATTACAAAAGGACAGCGACGAGTCACACTGTCCTTTTTAGTTTTCACTGTATCGTTCAGTTGGACAGCCTACAAATGACTGGCAACTAGGATTCGGTCAAGCAGTAGACCTACTTTGTTAGCACTTAATGCCATGTCTATATCTGCACGACGACGAGAACTAACCAATGAATCTCTAGAAACTAGGAAAGTGATTTTTCGAAGTCAATCATTTCTAATCTGCCCTCTCCATAAGAATGACACCATCAACATGGACTAATGGTCATAGTTCTGAGACGCCTTACTGCTGTTATATGCCATTCAGCCAGCAGTATGACTTCGTCTATGACTCTGTCCTCCTCTCTTCACAGCATAGCACAAGCTATTTACACTATGACTATCTACCTTTAGTCTTACTATTATGATGGTAAAATCTATTCACCTCAACTATTCATCCAGTATGGGAAACGAGGAAACGACTGTCGTGTGACGGTTACTTTAGTAGTCACAGAATATGTAGACTGATAATCTAGATATCTATCAGAATGTGTTGTTTTTCTAAAAATCTTAGCCTTTAGTTTGTTGTAATCCTGTCTTCCCACTATACAGTTCATAAAGTTTAGTTTCGACAAGTTGGATTCAGCTTGCTTGGTGAAAGTAATACTTCCGTACACATTATTTATGTGACAGAAGAGTTCATCCAGACTGTTTTACTTCACGATAGCAAGTATATCGTCTACGTATCTTAACGAAACTCTAGGAGATGTAGAGCGATTTGCTATTGCATTTGTCTCTAACGAATGTATGAATAAGTTAGCTACTATAAGTAGTACCATTGCTATACCATTTGTCTGTCGGTACAGATCTCCTCTGAACGTGAATACAGTCGATCGTAAGCATAATTCCAGGGAGTTCAGAATTTATCCCAAATCTAATGGGCACCATAAACTTACGTCAGTATCTAACAGCAGTAGGTTATGAATGATATCTAATGGATCTTTAATAGGTACGTTAGTAAACAAAACTTGCCATAATTTCGTCTTCTTCAGTGTGAGATGAAATGATTTTATTCATCCATCCAAATCAACATAGGACCAGGCATTACTGCGTAACGGTTCAAGTTGTCACAGCTTATATCAGTATATCAAGTAAAAAGGGAGTGAAGTGTAAGATGAAGAAAGGAAAATCCACTCACAAGTGATATAAAGTACTAAAAGAGAGAAAAAGAGAATGAGAAAATGTAAGATGAAATGATTTTATTCATGAATTCAGACAAATTATTTATGACATATTTTCATTATTTTTCGTATGATTTAAAGATTTGTGAAATGTATTTTGTTAAATTGTATCTGGGTGAGTTAGTAAAATCCACAACTGGTCTGAAAAGTATGTTTTTCTTGCAAAGTTTTTACAGTCCATAGGATCTACAAAGGCTGCAACTTTTTGGTGCTAATTAGAACCATAGAGAAATGACTAAATTGTCTTTTATCGATTGTACGAGTTTGGTAGTTTCGGCTTTTAGCTTGCTTAGTGTGGCTCGTGACTTTGTTGGATATATCTTTTAGTAGGGATTAGCGTTAAAATGCTCTTATGCCTCCTCCTCATGATCGTTTGTATTCATTACTACTATGGTGTTTCCTTTGTCTCCCCTCGAGATGATAATGACCTTATCGTTGAATAACTGCTTCATAGTAGAGCATTCCTCCTTATCTATACTTGACTTAGTAGGCTTCTGATATAGTAGTGTGTTTGATATTTTGTGTCTCACCTCATTAATTTGTGTTTGTCTGATCAATTCAGCACATAGTGTAAATATGCACAGATTCAGGTTGTTATACTTCAAAACAACACAAGGGGAAAATCAATCAAAGTAGAGGGATAATGTTGTAATTTATATTATTCTGTCAGTGATTGGATCAAATTGGTCGGTCTCTGTTGGCACATGAACTACTACGCAAATGCCTCGATACAGTCTGTATTTTCAATTTTGCTTTTTATACAATTCGATTAATTTGGTCCGATCAGCAACGCGATAATACAAGTCACAACATCAAAACTATACCTGTCGCACAAGAAGTGGCTACTGTGACTCGGTTGCCTAATGGATAACTCTCTGAGGTTTGAAATGATTGGTCCCAGGTTCGAATGTTAGTGAGAATAAAATCGCTCACTAGGAGGTAGAAAAATCCAGCCGACAAGTTTCAAAGAAGAAAAAACCCGCGTCTCGGGTTCCTCTGCTGCCCATCGTCAACCATTAAAGTAGAGGAATGTTAAAAGTGATAAAAGTTATGTGAATAGAAGGAAAAATTATGAAGAATATTGAAATGTAACGAGTTTAGGTGAGAAGAATTGAACACATCTACGTCACTATGAACAATTAGTCTTTGATGCAATTTTGTGTTGTATTCGAGACGTTATTCATAGAATAACACCGTTTCACTGTGCAATATATTTACATGATATATGCAATATCATGGAATTCCCCTCTGTCATACTACCTAAATGTTATTCTTATATTACCGATGAATTTGGAACTGAATCATTGGCTAACTGTAATGTATGGCTCCAAACACTTTGTTAACTACAGTGAAGAAGATCTGTGCTTTCTTACATTTTTATGACATACAGTGTGAGTTAATCAATTCTTAGCGCTTCTGTCTGGTTGAATTCAAAATTCACCGTAGGAACATGGTAATCTGTTTGTAACCAGTAATACTATTAGTATAATTATTTCTGAAATAGTACACAATATGCATTACGGAGCAAATATAAAATGAAGTCACGGATTATACTTTTACTGAGTGGTGTCTGGTACTGGAATTCAGGACATGCGTGTCATCCTCTTTCGGAATGATTCATCATCTAGCTGTACTGAATGAGTGAGTGAGTGATGTTCCCACTGAGACTCACTATCAGCACACAACACTTCGAATATTAATGGAAGCCGATTATTTCTATCCGGCATAGCAATAGAATATGGCAACTGATGACTGAATAGACAACTAGCTAGTCGTCTAAGATGGTCAGTAATTTTTTTGAGATATGCAGTTAACCTCTTAACTTAAATGTTATGAAAACTTTTCATGCTCTACTTGATACTAGAGACTGACAGTACATCGCAGTTGGTGACTAATAATCCAAACTAGATTGATAAAATTTGGTCAGCATTTATAACTAGACTATCTATAAATCAAAACTTTTTTAACTATGTAGCTTTAAATCTTTATTTAACAGTATTTTGAGAAATATTTTGTGATGTAATTTACGCCTATTTTTCTTCTTCTTCTTCTTCTTCTTCTTCTTCTTCTTCAGTATCTGGTTATCCTTCAATACCCGTATACAACAGAAATGTTTTCCCATCGAAACAATGTCGACGTCGTAAAGCAAGAACTGTATTCAGTGATTATCAGTTAACTGGTTTGGAGCATCGATTTGAAACACAACATTATCTATCCACACCTGAACGTATTGAATTGGCTAATCGGTTAAATTTATCAGAAACACAGGTAAATAATTATTATTTTATCTTCAAGTTCATTTAAAAGGATAGTTCAGTTCTGTTTAATGATAAGAGGTTGGCTATATATCAGCCAGACAGAACTTTCAGTGGCTTGGATAAAGCGTATACACATGGTTAGAAAGTTGTGCCAGAAGTTTAGCTGGTCAAACACTAGACTAGTAAGCCCAGCGTTGAGTGGTTCCAACTGCTCGTTCATCAACCCCGAAAAGTCTGTCATTGGTTGATAATTTCAGTATTATAATGTTTGTGTATGCTTGGATGGAAATATGAAACAAGGTCCCAAGAAGTTGAGGAATGTCACATAATGGTCTTAACAATGGGAGAAATGGTAAAAAAAAAATTATGAAATTAATCCAGACAGTTCTTTGAATCTTAGCAGATGTAGTGCATGTTACAAGCCTTAAATCTCTCAAGCCTTTCACAGCCAATCCTTCTACTTCAAAGTTTTGCTAAAGAAAGAAAGAAATTTAAAATAACCATTGCCGTTGTAAATACATACAAACCATTGTATTTTGTATCTACAGTTTCACGTCGCAATACACCTTCTGTTGTCTGTTTTTGCTACTTACTGAGGAACTGAGGGACCATCAGGTATGAAATCTGAAGGCTATCACTCAGATATCCTCTAGAATACATAAAACTAGGTTTGTATCAACCACCTCCGACAAAACATTTTATGTGATTTCAAAGTTAATTACACATAGTTTTTGATCGAAAAACTAATCCAAAAGAAAAATTGTCACTTTATAAACGTTTTTTCAAGGACTTCATTTATATTTCGATATAGAATATTGACCAGAATTGATCTTCAATTTATAAAAAAAAGTGATTTAGCGTAATTACAATCTGAACGATGTGTAGGTTATAGGTTATTAGAGGAACGAACCAACCAACCAGGAATCTATCAACCAACAAATATGTAGAAGAAAATGGAGATGGATTGGATTGAACATACACTGAGCAGACCATTCGGGAACATCACGTGCCACGCCACGCCGTCGAGTGCAACCCAAAGGGGAAACGACGAGTTGGGCGTCCCAGTTGAGGGTGACATGGAGGAGATGGTGTGAGGAAGAAATGAAAGCTTATGGGTAGTGGTGTAGCCAGATTGAAAAGAGTGGAGAGAAGACAGTGAAATGGAGATGTGGTACTGAAGCCATATGTTCCACTGGGAACCCAAGGGACAAATAATAATGATAGAGGATATATTAAATAACATCTCATGTATTAGACGTTTAGCAGTGGGTGAAGACTGCTGAGACGCCGTATACTAGGACGAAACAACTGTCCTCTGGTCCCGGGTTTTCAACTGTTCTCCAACTTGTGGCAGCTTTTAATCGATACCAGCTTGAAATCAATTACCACAATAATCTAGGATAGCTTGTCAGCAGTTTCATCTCACTTTCAGACTCTACAGTAGTGAACACATGTAACTTTCTACAGGATTGAGCTTAGGACCAGTTACCGCAGCCTTAGCACTCGATATGGCTGAAACGATGGATTTGCAGTTCCTTTTTAAAGTCAGTCACCAATGAGCACTAATTAAGTATTCAATTTTACTGGTTTTTATTGGTTTCCCAGTAGATTTTCAGCATAATCCATTCTATACAAACTTCTCAAGCCAGTAATTTTTCTTTATTTCAAGGTTAAAACATGGTTTCAGAATCGACGTATGAAACACAAAAAACTAAAACGTTACATTCCAGACTCAAAATTTACCCAGAAAAGTTCTTCAAAATGTCCAAGTTCTGCAGGTGCTGATGATGAAGAAGAAGTAGAAGAAGAAGAAGAAGCAGATGATGATGCTGAAGATAATAGTGGTGACAAAGGTTCAACTGCTGAAGGGAATCACAATAGAAGTGTTTCTTTGTCGTCCAATCGAATTTTATATTCTTTTTCAACTAAACATGATAACACTGACATTTCAAACACTAAGATTAACAATCATGATGTCGATGATGATGATGATGACGACAGTACTGATCCTTCGGAGATGAAAGTCCATTACAGACCTCCAGTATTGAACAGTGTTAACAATTCCAGTATGCTTTCTATGTCATCGTCAAAAATAGAAGAACCTTTATTGTCAACATCAACTACATTGACAAAATCAACAAGTTTAGTTCCAGCTCCTTCATTGTCAACATCATCATCATCAAGTTTACCAACATCATTATCTCTCTCGGTTCCATATCATTTTTACTCATCATCAGGAGATGATAATTATAGAAATTGGAGAAATTTCCCACCACAATTACGAATGGATCAAATAATCAAAAACTTTCTAACCTATGATATGATTGAAAAGGCTTATTTAGAATCTACGCTTAACTTTACTAATACAACTAGTACTCATAATAGTAGTGGTACTGATTTCGTCAATGATACCGACCAATACACATCAAACAACCTTAATATTACTACTAATACTGTTTACAATAATGATACTTCATCACTAAGGAAACAGATAATGTCTGATTGATCAAGTTTTCTCCTCTTTTTTTTCTTTTAACCTAGTCTCAATATGTTGATGTCAATGTAGTAGAAACATTCATTAGATATGATTATTAATTAAGCATAAATAGAGAAATATATACAACATATATTAACTCTTGTCATCTAGTTCTACAGGATTATGATTATGAGAACATTTAACTCTACTTTGTATGTTACGTAACATGGGACCCATATAAATCATAATAAACCATTCTCCTAAACTTTATATATTGAATGTGTTCAAGATTCAGGCTATTATGGACTTAATTCTTATCATTGTAATCTTTTTTCTTGCAATCATTTCTTTTCTTGAATCAATTCAAGAGCTAATGTGATTACATAACATTCAAGTGTAACATAATGGTATGTTAAGCTAAAGTTGTTCTATCGATACATAATAATGATAATAATACTAATAATAATCATTTCTATCATCAATTTTTCGTTGACTTTTTATTCTTGATGGATTATCTTGGAAGTTGATGTTTTCAGCTTGTAACTTCCTATCCTCGATCCTAGTGAAATGATCGGCATTATTGGCATATAGGCTATTGTATGGATGTCTTGATATTGTAGTTAATTTCATTTCGACAGTAGTAGTAGATAGTTGCTAGCAGTGGGATCAATAAGCTGTATTCCATCCTATTTAGTATCTGTTTGTCAGCCAGATGTACTTATCTCCATGTAGCTGATATTTATTCTGCTGAAATGCGATTGGCCTTCAGTTCGAGTCTCTGTAGGAGGCGAGTACATCCAACTGAGAAATTATTTCCAAGAATGCTTCACTTCCAGTTATTATCCATCACTTTTCTGAATGTTTTGCATCGAAAACTTGTTGTTGTCATTAACATAGTCTTACGGTAAGTATTCTATGCGGGCCGACATTAGTTGGAGAGTTAATGAAAATCTTAGAACGCTGAATATCTGTTTCGTCACATTATAGGGTTCCTCATCTAGTTTGAAGTTAAGTGGGTACCAGCTAAGAATCTTAATGGATAGTCACGCTATATAACGTATTCACAGAAGTAGGAAAATGAACATCAACCAAGTGGTTGACTGGCTAAATGCGTTCACAATGAAACCTAAAGGTCCTGAGTCCGATCCCTAGCCAGGTAGTGGGTGCGTACTACTGAGGAGTCCCATAGTCGGGTTAAGCCTACCCTACTCTTAAAACCTAATTCTTTATAAAACTTCTTTTCTTTTGTCTCCATGTAACATGCCTACACATGTATACATACAATCGTTTAAAATTTTTTCAATGACTTATTAAGGCAGGTGGGGATGGTTTGATAAATGGGTGGGATGAACTGAAAGCGCAGACATTTGTTCTGATGACGTTATTCTATTCTCTACACTCAACTAGTCATATTTCCAGTTGTGCACGGTACAGTCTGTAACAATCAATAGTTATCAGAACTTTTCGTGAAGCCTATGGGCAGGTTGTCAAAGGAAAGAGGATAAGTTTGTTCGACGATGTCTCTTCTGCCAAATTATGAGTCGACAGGTTTTTCTAACTATTTTAGGAATAACTGTGCACTAAAAAACCAACTGACATCCACCTTAAGGCTTTTTTGAACTTGCTGGTTAAGTGATTATGAACCTGATTGTGAACCTTCATCGACTGAGATGGTTGGCTGGCACATGTGTTACTTATGCCTAGTCACCATCTGCCTCACCACACAATGTTGACCGAAGTAGGTTCAGGCTAGAGAAAGGCTCGAGGCAGTCAGACTAAAACATGGCATCAATGAATGAAGTCTTTGACTGTTGATTCCAGCCATGTGGGGTGATGCAGACTAGCCGGTCCACGGGACAAGAGGAATCAGTGGTTGAAGACTGTAGGTGATCATATGGCTCAGAACCGATGTCATTGGCGCAGATGTATGCATACATGATCCTCATTTTAACGCTTTATCGAATCTCACTATTTTCTCATTCTTCCTTTCTCTCTTTTCGTACTTTATACTTCTTCGGACTGAATTTTCTTATCGTCATCTCACACTTCACTGGCTTTTTACTTGATGTACTGATATGAGCTGTGGTAAGTTGGACCGTTACTCATTAATGTCTGGTCCTATGTTGATAGTGATGATGATGATGATGATGAGATTAACTGATCAAAAATGTTTCAGAATATATAACATGATTTGATCATGTATTTGAGTGGTTAAAACAATATCTAACGAAGTAAGTCGACATAGTATAGTCGGTGGAAAATATTTTTGATAGCCCAAGGTTTCAAGTTACCAAATGAGAAGTGAACAGCTGGCTAAATCAAAGCTGAAGGAAGTGAACTGACCACTAACTGATACTGAGAAAGTGCACTTACTATGTTTATTTGTAATTCAAAGTTTCGGACTATCACTGACTTTGATGTCTGGTTTGAACTATCTAGTTAGTTTATGTTTTTACGATGCAATGTACACAATTTCCTTACAGAAATGAGTAGACAACCTGTTATCCTTCTGATACTTTGCTTAAATATATGGAGAACGTATGGCTCTATGCCACTTCAACATTGTTTCGGGAGTGAACAATTTATTGTTTACTTCTCCTTTATAAACTGATTGATCATTTGAAAGTAACCGATTTCATATTTTCTGACTGAGTTCCATAGATGAAATATTCATCAAGATAGAAGGATTTGCATAACAGTTCAATTTAATTCCAGATAGGTGGCTGAATGACATCGGTGCCAAGCGCTAGACCTAGTCTTTGTGTATATCAGGAATTGTAATCGTAAACACACTCTTCTGAAGAGAGTAGGTTCCACAGTAACCAGGCTGTTACATAGTATCACTGATATTATTATTTCTTTCTTGGATTCTTAGGGGAACGTAGGGCTTCAGTAGCACGTTGTGACTTCATTCTATTGTCTGAAGTCTTTTGAACCGCGCTCCATGACTGCCCATAAGCCTTCATTTCTTCCTCATATGATCTCCTCTATGTTACACTCACACACCCAACTCGTCGTTTCCCTTTTGGATTGCACTCAACGACCTGGCCTGGCGCATGATGTCCCTAATCGGCCTTCTCAGTGTATGCCCATTCCATCTCCACTTTCCCCTGCATATTTGTTGGACGATAGGTTGTTGGTTGGCTTGTTGACACAACGAGTTCCTTGTTGCTTATTCTTTCTGGCCTTCTCATCTGATCTTCAGTATGGAGTGAGCGTAGACGGCGGCTGTTGATGTATGTCTGTAGTTTGTTGGAAATGATTTCGTGACGCTCAAAGTTTCTTAACCATATAGCAGCAATGACTTGACTGACGCTGGTGTTGAAAATCCGGATCTTGTTGTTTGTGCTGAGTGGAGCGGAGTGGAGTGCAGTGTAGCAGATCTCCACACTGATTTAAGGTTGGTGAAAGCCTATCTTGCTGTGTTTCCGATCCTGGTTTTGACATCCTGGTCTGTGCCTCGGCCTGTAGTTGAAACAGTGCTGCCTAGGTAGGTGGGTGGGTGAAAGAGATTACTTCCTTTAGGTCCCTGCCGTTAATCGTGACTGATGCTTGTTGTTGTTTGGGTATCTTCATCACCTCTGTCTTCTCTACGTTCACCTGAAAGAAGTGTCGTGTTTGCTGCCCTGCCTCTTCTGTCAACTTGTTAGTTCTCACCTGTACATCTTCGAGTTTGTGCGAAACTAGGCATAAATCAGCAATGGCGAAATCCAAATGTTCTAGGGTCTTTTCATCGGTGCAGTCACCGTATGTCCATCTTCTCACTCCTCATAGTTTGTTGCATTATCCAGTCCAGTCGACCACAATCAAGAAAATCATTGATGCTTGTAGGCAGCCTTGCCTTACCTTTCAACCTGTTTTCACTTCAAAGGCATCCGTCAGCTTTCCATTGTGGATCGCTGGCATGTGGCGTTTTCATACAGCTTAGCTGTTGAATGAGGTTGATAAAGATTTGTGGCACTAAAATCGTAGTGTTAAAGCAACTGCCTTCCAAATTACTTTTCGGTCGATGCCGTCGAATGTCTTTTCGAAGCCGATAAAGTTGAGGTAGAGCGTTGAGTGCCATTCTATACTTTGTTCTATGATGATGTGTAGTGTTGCGATTTAATCCGCACATGATTTGTCCCTCCAGAATCCAGCCAGCGTGTTTCGGTCGTAGTTTTGAATCCAGCGCATTCTTTAGTCTCTTCAGGATGATGCAGCATAATATTTTTTTGGGTGGAAAGCAGCATGATTCCGCGCCACTGCTTGCAAAGGCTTATATCTTCCTCTTTTAGGATTTTGGCGTAGTAGACCTTCTTCCAATTTGCAGGTACTTTTCCTTCCTTCCAAACCTTCTGCAGTATTAGTGTGAGCATCACTGATATAGGTATGTCTAAAATGAGTCAAACTCCAGCATCACATATTGTCAAGTATTCAGAAATGACTGATGAAAAAGTAAATGTTGATGACTGTTTCACGTAACTGCAGTCTGTTGTTGCTCAAGCTAATGAAAGCAATTTGAAATTCACCTTGTACACCTGAAATTCTATGCCCCAAAATCTTAATAAAACTGTCAATTTAACTTGAATTATTCGGGATAATATAATAAGTGGATATTTATATGACATTTTAAATTATGCTGATAACAAAAATACCAAATTTATCAGTAGAAAGTGTCGGAATTATTTGGAATCTAAATGCATGGATCACGGATTTCCTTTTTGGTACGAGACATAGAGTAAGGATCAGTTCTCAACTCTCATCTTGGAAGTCGGTAGAGAGGGGAGTGCTGAAAGGCACAGTCTTAAGTCCCTTGCTATTTCTGTTGTACATTCGTGATCTACCAAATATACCATATATACCTGCACTCCAGGCAGGCCTAAACAGCTTGTTAACCTGGTCACAGAAATGGGTGATGCGTATCAGTGCAGGCAAATGTGTGAGCATGCACATGGGGGCACGCAGATAGCAACATCAATGATATTGGTGGGACCCCTCTACTCTCAGTACTGACCCATAATGAACTAGGAGTCACAGTGAGTTATGAC